AGGCATTAAGCAAGCGGAGAAACGTTTTTCCGTCCAAAGGACCAGACAAGTCTGTGTGTATGCGTTCCCACGGTTTACTGGGCCATTTCCAAAGACTAAGTAGTACAGGAGGGGCATTCCTCTGATGGTTTTGACACACGTTGCAGTGTCGGATCCGGTGGCTTAGGGGTAGCGGTCTCAATTAACATCCCAATGGTCCCGAGTTCGATGCCTGCTAACTATCTGATGTGATGTAATCACATGGAAAAGCGTCATATAAGTGCATTGTTAGCCCTGGAAGCGTATCCAAAGAGGTACTTGACTTCATTCGCTCCCAGTCCGCAAATAAGTGTTTGGTGATGGGCGACTTCAACCTCCCAGAGATTTGTTGGGCAGATCTTTCTTGCGACTCAGCGTCAGTCACATTCGGCGCTGATCTGCTTGAACTTACGCTCCAAGTATCTTTGCACCAGTTCATTGACCTCCCCACTAGGTACATGGACGCCCAAGTACCGTCTATCTTAGACCTTGTATTCGCTAAGTCACTCGATTTTGTTGGTGACATTACTTACGGACCTCCACTGGGTTCCAGTGATCATGTTTGTTTGCTCTTCAGTTGTACTCTGTCTAGACGCTACCAGAGTACTGTTGAGTCTCGCCCAAACATATGGCAAGCAGACTATCAATCAATGAGAGCCAAGGCTTCTGGTTTCCATTGTGAGATCTCAGACGACGATACTGTCCAGGTTGCCTGGGATAAATTTAAGTCCTACCTCACAGAGGTCTCTGCTCCCTTCATACCAGTCACAAGGAGAAAGGAGGCCCGAGCACAGCCGCCCTGGATAGATCCCACTGGCAGGCATCTGCTCACAAAGAGATCTAGATGTTGGCGGACTTACCGAGACGCTCCGTCTACCGATACTTATGACAGGTACCGTAAAGCTAGAAATAGGTGTAAGCAACACCTAAAGGATGCTCGGCTCACTTTTGAAAAAGGGTTAGCGGACGAAGCTTCAGAGAATCCAAAAAGATTCTTCGCTTATGTCAAAAGACGCTGCGGTTCGAAAATGTCAATTCCAGTATTGATGCGTGATGACGGTACTCATGCGCATACGGATTATGACAAGGCCTGCGTACTCAGTGGGCAATATGCGGCAGCGTTTGTAAGGGAAACCTCTTTGACAGGCGTTGAGCTGGTTTGCAGGACTCCAGAGGGTTCAGAACTATCTGAATTTATTGTAGCGGAGACTGCAGTTCGTAGGCTGTTACAAGGGCTGAACCCTTCTAAGGCCTCTGGGCCTGATTTAATTCACCCGAAACTGTTGCATGAGTTGGCTGCGGAACTAAGTGGACCGCTCGCTATTGTGTTTCAGAAATCGCTTGACAGTTGTGCATTGCCTTCCGAATGGAAGGAAGCTGTCATCTGTCCCATCTTCAAACATGGGGACAGGGGTCTGCCTGCAAATTACAGGCCAGTTAGTCTGACGAGTGTAGTAATCAAACTCCTCGAGAAACTGGTGAGAGATTCATTAGAGAGTCATCTGAGTAGATTTAATCTACTTAGCAATGTACAACACGGATTCCGGAAGGGATTTTCGTGTCTGACGAATCTGTTGGTGGCTCGCGAAAATTGGGCGGATGCAGTGGATAACGGCCACACGCTGGACGTGCTTTTCGTCGACTTTTCGAAGGCATTTGACAAGGTACCCCATTTGAGGCTCGCGCAAAAGCTGTCCTCCTACGGGGTATCTGGCCGCGCCCTTCATTGGGTGACTGCCTTCTTGGAGGGTAGAGAACAATGTGTACGGGTAGGCCGGGGTCTGTCATTTAGGCAGTCTGTCCTCAGCGGCGTGCCGCAGGGCTCGGTCCTTGGACCGCTGTTGTTCTCTATCTATGTGAACGACCTACCCACGGAGCTTGAGGTACCATCGCTGCTATTTGCTGATGACCTGAAGCTGTGGAACATTGTTGATGTTCCTGGGGGTTCCGAAGCTATTCAGCGAGCATTGGATAAGCTTTGGGACTGGTCTACTTTATGGTTACTGCCCATAAATCAGGCAAAGTGCTCCGTTCTTCGAATTGGAGGAGGTTGTCCTCCTGCGAAGTACTTGGTCGGTGGGGTCGAACTCCCCCGTGTATCTAGCCAGGTTGACCTAGGCGTCGTACACTCTTCGGCGTTACACTCCGGCGACAACTGGAAGAAGGCCGCAAGCAGAGGTTTACGCATGTTGTGGTTAATCCGACGTTCTTTCGGAGTCTTGACGGGCGGCATCTTTACGAGGCTGTTCTCGGCTTTCGTTCGCCCTCATCTGGAATACTGCGTCCAGGCTTGTCCGCCCTGCCTCGTCCGGGACAAAATGGAGCTAGAGAGGGTTTTACGAGTGGGTACTAGGTTAGTCGAGGGATTACGGGGACGGACGTACCCCGAGCGTCTACTTAGTTTGGGAATGCATTCAATGCACTACCGAAGGCTTAGAGGAGACCTAATCCTAACCTACCGTATCTTGACTGGGAAGGTTGGTCCAGATTTGTCTTGGCTATTCAGTCCCGCTAGATTGTCTGTTCTACGCGGTCATTCGTTGAAGCTGGACAAACCGCGGTCCGATCGGATTAGGGCGGAAATCCGGCTGTCACGCCGAGTTATCGACCGCTGGAACATGCTTCCGGAAAGTGTTATCAGGGAATCTACGGTTAAGGGGTTTGAGCGGCAACTTGACGCTCTTGGGTGGCAACACGAAACCTTTCCATTTTCCTGAGTAACTCACATCTTCGTACTTCGATTTTCTTTTCTCTACTTTTCTTCACGTATTGGTATTATTTTCTTATTTAAGTGCACTTCCCTATTCTGTACCTTCGATTTCTCTTCCTATCCTTTGCTTACTTCACGTGACTGCCACAGCAGGGACTGCTAGGGCAGGAAACGTGGGCATTAACTGGTTGGCCAGGGTGCGATACGGGTGTTTCCGTTTTAGATCCATCAATAACTGAGCACTTCATCAATTCCTGGCTCAACGATCCACTCAAGATGGAACACTCACGGGATTTTCCTATCGTTCCAGTCCCCATCTGAACTGAACTGAACTGAACAACTCTTCGATACTTCTGTCAACATTAGGCTACCACACACAAGATTGCGCATGTGCTTTCATTCTCGTGATTCGTGAGTGTGTTTCGTGAAGTTCTTGTAAGACACTCTGCCGCCACCGTGGTGGTATAATTGCTCTAGATCCCCATGGCAAACACCTATCCTCAAGACTGAGCCCTGTGAATCAGATAAAGTAGGGCAGCAGTTGCGGTTCACAACTGTCAGGCCAACCTTGAAAAACTAGTCGCTTAACTTTGACCACTAATGTATCTCGTTTACTTTTCTGACGGATGTCTGCATTTGACACTGGATATTCGTCCAAATGTTGTAGCAGATGAACATGCTCCACAGGTTGAAGTACCCAATCTGGTAGGTGATTCAGCGGTAAACTGCTCAGGCTTCCGCGATTCCGTTTGCTTTCCCAAGGACATAGGCGATCTTGTAATTGTAACCGGAAAGCAATAAAGCCCAGCGTTGCATACGAGGTGACGCCATCTGGTCTTTTTTCTCACCAATCAGGAATAGCAAAGGCTTGTGGTCAGTAAAGATTTCAAATTTTCTTCCCCAGAGATACTGGCTGAAGTTCGCGGAGCAATGTCGACGGCTTGCGATCTCCAAGCCTGAGACCATTGAGCTGCTCAAATCGTGTTCGTGCGCTGGGTCGTAACTCTTTCAATATCGCTTGCTTCATCGTTTCATACTTTGCGTCATTCGATGGGCAGAGTAGAATGTCCTCAATCAGCGTCCCTACCGACGGAGGAAGGCGTGGACGAGCTGATTGTACCTTGGACGGTCCGCCGTTATGCCCTTATTTTCTAGTTCGATCTCGAATATCTTAAACCAAACTTCTGGACTGTGTTCCATGAGACTTGGAACAGCCAACGTAAGAATGGTTACGCTGTGAAACGACTCGGATGCCACTCTCGAAATGTGAGTGGAAAGATTAAGAATCAACAAAATACGATAAAACTATTAAAATTACGCAAGAAACAAATGAATATAGGTATAAAATCGAGCAAAAGGAACGAACTCACCTAAAATATAAAGGAGAAAAAAGTTGAATTCGCGCGTGCGAATCAGGGTCACCAATTTGTAGGACTAGTTAATACTAGTCCGAGACGGTGCGCGAAATTAAGCGCAGATATCAGGAGGCAATGGAATTTGGACACAGCGGACTGCATTCGATGGGCTACAACAAGAAGCGGACGGATGAAGCGAGGTGAGAGCGTACATGTGAGTGCGGGAACTTACAAGGCAGTTGCGTGTCGAGCCGGTTGTAAGATTAAAACAAGAAGGAGTAATGTACAATCGGTCAACAAGTAAATTGTACATGAAAGATAAGAGTTATCTTCTTGGGCGCTACAGCCTATTGGAGCCAACTCACACTATGCATACCAATTTGTACGTTACTGCGGAAGCAGTTACATAGGCAGGAATAATAGAGCCCTGACGACCCGAATAAATGAAAATGTACCGGGATGGGCTCAATGTAAAGTTGCTCAGATTTCCTCCCTCGTGGGATTCCATGTTAGCGCACACCGCCGGCTTCCTCGGTAGGCAAGCACCTATTAGACTCGGGGTCACCGGATGGAGTTGCGCTCAGCGGCCACAGTTGTGTCCAGTCACACTAATCCCCGCTTCCTTCGGGTTGCTGAGGCTGTCGCTATAAGCCGAATGAAGTCTGCATTATGTATTAAGAAACAATTATTAGTCAGCTTAAAGCTGCTTGGACGTAGGTGTGAACTTCTGTCATTCGTTATGCACCTTAAGCTTGCCTGGTTGCACCCACTGTTAGCTATATCTGTGCATATCAGTTATTGTTAATGGCACTGAGGAGACAACGTAAAATGCATGTATTTATCAGCCTTCGTATCCTTTCCGTATTTTCAAATTTTTGATGGGAACTAACTGCTTAAACTTGGTTGCCAGAAAACAGATGTTAGGAAGCATACAGAAGGACACTTGTTTATTGTCAGTTAAGATTTTTGGCTAAACTAGAAATCTCAATTATATCTAGGAATATTTGTTTTAACTGCTCAGAAAACAATTATTTCACAGGCGAACTTACTACTACAGTATGTATTCCTGATTTTCTGTCTACTTATGCACAGTAGTCCAAATCCAATAACGCAATGAACCACTTTTCGTGAATGTATATTAGATACAGCGTCCGTAAGGGACCGATTTTTGGCTACTTATGTTTTGGATCTGATCTCATCAATGAAACATTTGTACTAAAGAAACAAACTTATTTGCGATACTTTCGCTATTACCTGTTTACTGCGTTATTGAAAACAATGGAGTTTCGCATATTTTATTAATAACGTATCTGTCCTTATTGTATGTACGTGAACGTTAATGGAACAATACTAACAAACTTTGATTCTTAAACGTTTTGCGAGATTCCACGCTTGTCTCTCATTCTGTTCAAAAGAATCTCGTGCCCTTTGTAATAATAAAGGAAAGGTACGTTACGTGATCAAGTATCGCGGGAAAACGAGCCAGAAACTTGTTTGCTCTGGTCATTATATTGTCAATGGAAACATGAAAGAAGAATTGAACGGCCGTGTAGAGAATAAGGTCTTTGAGTCAGTTGAGCCTTTTTCAAAGAGCAGAGGTTTCGGTGACTTATCATGCAAGCCAGTCGAGTGCAGACAGCATGACAGAATAGCGGCGGATGTGCAAGGTATTGCACTCAGCCTCTTCAAAGAATATGTGAATTCTTTAAAAGATTTTTCATCACTGATTAAAGTAAAACAAAATGTGAAAACTAAGGAGTCATCTACTTCTCCGATGCATTCCCCTACGCGTTCATGCCATACGGAGAATTGGCTATTGCAACTTGACGGAACGGATGACAATTTTCAACACAGTTCTCTAAACACCCACTGCTCCAAAATACAAGCTTTTGGACACGACACACCAATGCTGCATGACACAGAAAGAAATCTGATAAAGGAAGATGATTGCGCTCCTTTCAGAAGTTTGAATATCAACAACAAAATAAATTCTTTGTGGAATTCTAAATTAGATTCTTCAAACCTGAGTTCCGTATCTGGACAAAGTACCTCGAAATATCCAAGCGGAATCTCCTATTCTGGTCTGGGTGATTGCGCAAAAAGGATTAGCAAAAGCAAACCTATGCATGAAGAATTTGAAAACAAGTAAGTTTTATATGTATCCTGTATTATTAGGTAATTGTTAAAAGGACACATAACAAATTTAAGATCTAAGTAAACTCAATTTAAAGACAATTTGCTGGAGAAGTTTCCAGTTAGTGTGTGTCAAACATTTAATTAAACACACTTGCCGTGTAGTCGTACTAAAATGTTTTATTGTTAAGTACTTTATTATTACGTGCCTATGTTGCTATTCATAATATCCCAATTCATTTTGACTGCAGTAGGTTGTCTATCCTGTGCCAGGAGACACGTTGTTTCATGTTCCATTGGTTGTCAACTGGCATATTAATTAAAAACGCGTGTGCACTACTGAGCATAGATAACGGAACGTTAAACGAATTTGGCCAATAGCTGAATATAAGCGTTATATTGATGGTGCTGTGGCAGTTAATGTTTCAAAACGTTAACTGACACGTCATAAGTTTATTGAATGTAACATTTTTACGCTTAACATAGTACTTTACATTTGTACAAAACAAACCAAAGTTTAGTAAAACGCACTGCTTTATATAGTGTTGACAAATGTAAAAGCCGTGGTTAAAAGTCAAGCACTTACAAAAATACGGCTTTGGGCTTCGTCAAAACAGGTATAAAGCCATCCATCCTACCTCGGTACTTTTGCCATACTTAGCAAACTCATGAAGAGATACGTAAAGATAAGTGTCATAATATTTCTGTATACTGAATTAAACATAATAATGCTCATACTTTGTTTCTTTTAATTTTAATCTTGCACTGAGCACAGGCGTCTGGGAAGCTATCGAGGTGTGATAAATACACATGCCCCTGGCCGTTTCGGTGAAACAAATACAGTCACATATCAGTCATTTGATAATAATTTATTGGCCTTACCTACTAAATATTGCGCTACGACGCACTGAGCATCATGTTCTGCTGACCGCGCAAAGTGGCTGGACATTAACATGGTGCGATAGTTTGCTTGTTTCAGAAATCCGTTGAGCTATACTGGGTGGTGCTATGTTGCAACTTCAGAGCCACTCATACCAGAGTAGTCAGTGGTAAGAGGCCAGAAAAACTCAGCTACCTGGTTCTACAGGTTAAGGGTTGGAATGAAGGTGGCTCCTTATTTCTTAAAACAGACACTTTGTAGCCTACCGCTAGAGCCGCTGCCTTGTGGTCAGGTTGCTGAACCAAAAACTTTATTTGAGAACCCTAATCGTTGTCTTGTATAATCCTGGGCAACCTGACTGTATCTTGTTTAAACAATACAATGAATTTCTCTTCGAACAGTTTTCTGCTGCACTGGCCGTTGCATAGCATAATAAACGGCGTCCTATCTGCTGCATCCAGCAAAACGGATAAAGGTTTGGATGCTACTGCTTAAGTCTTCACGTCTTCTTATTCATTCTCTTACGCTTTTTCACTCTTATCGTCGCGTTGCAACCAAGTTAACCCAACCTTTTAACCTCGCGGTTCTTGGCTTTATCCCAACCTGCTTACCTAGGTATTTGTTTTTTAGTTCAACTCACATACGAAAGCTGAGAGTCGCTCCTGTCCCGTAGACAAGCCCATGTCCATCCAAGCGTTTTACCCCAGTTCATCGTCTTCCGTTAAAAGCTTTAACCCTCCTTCAGATTAGCATGCTTCTTCATAGGCTCAATTCTACAGATAAGTCAACAGGCAATACTTGCCCGAACTTTAGAGACCCTTTCCATCGACATCTGCTGCTTATCGGAGACCGGCCTGCAAGACTGGAGCTCTGTGCACAATTTGTGATCCCCTTCAGGTGAAACCAGCAACATTTTCTCATTGCGCCTATTTGGTGACGATGCAGTCTCGAGCACCGGCCGAGCTGACATCAGCATTGCCCTCGGTCCCCGGCTGAAGCTGCATTGGTTGATTGGATCCCAATCAGTAGCCGGATGTGTGCATTCCGATTGGTTGGCTCGTTAAAAGCTTCAAAGTTGCTCGGGACTAACAGGTGTCTATGCATCATCGCTGTCTTTGCGCTTACAAATCATAGCAATGCTTTGACAAAAAACGACTTTCACCGCCAACTGACCGATCTCCTTCGCTGCAGAAGAAATACGGACACTGTTGTGCTGGCGGGGGATCTGAACACACAAGTTGGAAAGTTGTCCACTGATGAATGATAAATGTGAAGTCCTCTGCAAAGCACTGACCTCCCTATTCGAACGCATCTGGGACCAAGTAAATGTCCCGGCTAATTGGAGAGAATCGATTATAGTGGAAATAAACAAGAAAGACAGTCGCACAAACTGTTCTAACCACAGGGGTATTAGCCTAACTCTAGTTGTGACAAAATTATTGGCCTCGATAATCGTTCGTCGCCTCACTGCGGAACGGGAATCTCGTATTAGGGAAGAGCAGGCCGGTTTCCACCCAGGACGTGGCTGTATAAACCATATTTACAATTTGCGGCAGGTGCTAGAGCAGCGCCACGCATACCACAGATCGACAATAGCTGTGTTCCTCGATTTCAAGAGTGCGTTCGATTCAGTCGATTGATCGATTCTGTTCGAAATACTTGCGCGGAAAGGTGTTCCCACGAAATATGTGAACATCCTTCGTGCCCTATACTCGAACACTACAGGCCGCGTCAGGGTCTATGGTGGCCTATCGGATAACTTTCCGACCACAAGTGGCGTTCGTCAGGGTTGTCCGGTTTCCCCGTTTTTGTTCAATTTCGTAGTGGATTCTATCATGGAGTGTTCCCTTGCGGAATCCCATGATGTAGGCGTTGAAGTGCTGCCTGGTGAACGGTTAGTTGATCTAGATTATGCGGACGATATCGTCTTGATTTTCGACGATGTTGGGGCGGAACAATCAACCCTGAATAGCCTGTCCAGAGTGGTCCCATTATTTGGTATGCACTTCGCACCTTCGAAGTGCAAAATGTTGCTGCAGGACCACCAGCCACTTGATGACCGCTTGACGCTTGCTAACGAGGAACTCGAGGTGGTTGATCATTTCACTTATCTTGGCAGCTGCGTCAGCAGTGATGGGCGCATAGAAACTGACGTGAGCTCACGCATTGCATAAGCCAGAGCTAACTTCTTAAACCTGCGGCATCTCTGGCGACAGAATGGAGTTTCCCTCCGTCTGAAAGACCGTGTATACAAGGCCACAGTGAGAGCCGTTCTGCTGTATGGTAGCGAGACTTGGCCCTTTTGGTCTGAAGATCTAAGGCGCCTTCGAGTCTTTGATCATCGTTGTCTGCGAAGCATTGCTGGAGTCGGATGGCACCAGCGTGTCCGCAACGATGATGTGCGTAGGCGAGTACTAGGTGGTGATAAACATGCTAGTTCCTTAGAACAACAGATAGCACTGAATAAGTTGCGTTGGCTCGAGCACTTGTTACGTATGCCTGGTTACCGCTTACCTAGGAGAGCCTTGTTTAGTCTGCCAGATGTAGGGTGGCGCAAGATTAGAGGTGGACAGAAGTTGATTTGGTAGCAGAAAATGAAGTCATTGATGACCAAATCGGGTACCGTTGGTTCGTCTCACCTTTTGGGATGGAGTCCAAGTGAATTTCCTTGTGCTTGGTTAGAGACTTTACAGGACGTGGCTTGCAACCGACATCAATGACGCGTCTGCTGCCGTCTCCTAATAGGCTTGCCTGTTTTAAGTGTGTTTGGTGCTGTTATCTGCGGAGTAATAGCTGATTATGACGCAAGCAGTGAAAGCCGCAAGGAAGCTGTCTTGGCGATGCCACCTTATCTGCACGATGGCTAGCTGTTTGTGACGGTGTGTTATTAAGTGGTAGGCGCCTTGACCTTGAATCTTTGCTTAGGGCATTAAGGTTTTCTGGTAAGTCCCCCTTCTTCCCTCTTCTTATTCTTTATTTCATAGGTCCTCATGATTGTATGGCAGCAAAGCATCAGTTCAAATTGCTGTTGTACTGCTGTTGATGATGATGATGATTCCCCTTGGTGCACTGCATCTAGGCATTCAACACAAGGTAGGCTCCCGTAATGATAACGGTGGGCGGTTACTTCATTTGTGTAAAGATGCCCGCTTATTTCATGAGAGCACTAACTTCCGATACAGAACACGCCGGAGAGTGACTTGGCTCCCAAAATCCTCGAACCAGCCTTGTACGCAAATCGTTCACGTTGCAATCAGTTACCGCTGAAGAAGCTGCGCGCAGAACTATCGCTAGATTTGAAGCACATGTGTAGACAACGACTATGCACCTGTATGTGCTGACATGCGGAAGCGTTCTGGCGGACGTCCCCGGAGATGCTGTGTGCGCATTGACACCAGTTAACTAGCAAAGTCAGCTGTTCTGCATGCGTATCGAAATACGCTGAAATGCGGGTTAAGCAGGCACTCACTAGAGACAATTGAAGGTCACTGGTCGCATGTTAACCAGACCTTACTAGCAGCAGACAAATCATCATGTGGTTAGTCTAATAGCCAACATGGACATTGGTTCTCTTCGTGGTCTCTGGAACTTATCGATGCTCGCCGGCATATTGCGCTGGAAGCAAAAGCAATAAAACTCGCAAAAGGCTCCGGGCAAAACTCAGTGCTATCTATAAGAGAGACCGTGAAGCGTGGTGGTCTCACCGGGCGTCAGAGATGCAAGTGGCCACAGCCTTCGTTAACCATTGAAATTTATTCTGCCTGAAACGGGAAGCGGGCAGCAGGAGACCTGGTGTTAGTGAAGCAATTTGTGACGCGAATGGACTGTCTATTCAACATCTGTTAAAACGTTTAGAGCGTTGGGCTGAGCATTTTGTAAGGCAATTTAATTGATCGGAATTGTTTGATTATTCACCAGCCAGGGATCGCCCTGCTCCCTGGACTGTCCCTTTGGATCCGCCTGCTCGTTTAGAAGCCAAATGTGAGATCGGACCGTTAAAGTTGACAATCTTCATCTAGATTTCTTCACACTGGGAGTCCCTGCTCTTGTTGATGATTTACACGAGTTACTGGTAAAACTGTAGAAGCAGGAATCTGTCGCAACCGACTGAAGCTGCTCCGTTTTAGTCCTTACCT